CTTTTAAAACTTGTAATTTGATTGGCTAAACAGCATGTGACAATACATGAACATTGTGTAACATTGAACGGTTCCCCTGTTAACCCATCCCTGGCTAAAATCTCGTGTAACCATAATGCATAAATATAAACAATAACAGAATCTTTTTTTTCCTCGTCTCATCATTACCTTTTTTCATAATCATTGATTTCTCATAATCATTACTACTTTTTTCTCTTTTCCCATATGGCATCGAAAATAATGAATCTTATTTCTTATATTCATGCACATTTGTGAACCGTCAATATCTATTCTTTGGCGTGATTCATTCCGTAAAAGACGACCTTTATTCATTTCTAGATATTTTCATCTATCGATGAAGATGAACATGGGATAAATAAGTAATTTTCCCAAGCACTATTTGATTATGCAAGATTTTTAAAGGCTTTCGGATCTACCTCGTTTAGAAATTAATGTTAAAAGTGGATCAAGATAAAGCGGGCTAAAGACTCATCAACGAATTTCGTATTCTTCTTATTATTCCAATTATTCATTGAAAGTGGTGCCACACTACATAAATTCTACACATATTGAATTTATACCAGAGGTATTTCACGTAATAGAACGAAATAATCAATACTTATTCATAAAAAAGGTTGAGTTTTCCGAACAAGATCTTATTGGTAATTTACAAAGTTTCAAACTCTTTTACTATAGTGTAATATAGAAAACATCCCGGAGGCTGAAATGAAAATACGGCTATGCAATTTGCAAAGACATTGCCGTTAACATTGAGATTTCTTAAATTCGGGACTATTGGTTAAAAAAAACATATATTGATATTTTTAACATTGTAACGCTACGTTGCAAAGACTGGTAACAAATCCAAAAGGAAAGAAGGTCTTCATTGGTAATGACAATAAAGTGTTAATCAAATTTGAATGAGAAACGAAACTATGAATTAGTTATGAATTAGTGGGTGTAAACTGATAATTTTGGAATTTTAGAATTTTAGAAATTAATACCATATGAACGTATTGTTTTTAATTGCTAATTTTAATAAATTCCTTTTATTTGCTGACCAAAAACTATTTTAAATGTCAATTGTCAATGTCCAAACTATATCGATATAGGCTAATTTGCGATAATTGGGCCCTGAATAGAATTCAGTCCTTTCATAACAATGCCAGAACATAGAATCGATTTTACTGTCAGATGATCTTCTGACGTATATCATTCATCACTTTGCGAATATTGCATTTATCTCAAATTTAGCTCCTTAGAATCCTAACAAAAAAAATACCTCCTGCAATTTTACTATACATTTGCCCTTCTGAACCTAAGGTGATAGTAAAATCTATCCGACGTCCTGTCAAGCTTCTAAACCCTAGTTGATTTTTTTTGATTGGCCTGACGAATTATTAGGGTGGTTGTTTTTATTTTTTTAGGGCATATTTTGCGCTATTACGCAAGAACGATATAATGAATATACCTCAAATTCATTAAATCCCATTAGAAATCGTCCGTCTCAAAAATGGTATAGTTGATTTTTTAATAAGCTGTTTGTCAGACAACTGTATTAATTATGGATTTCTACTTCACATCATATAAAGGTATTTAGATTTGTGAAAGGTGGCAATTCGAGTAGACAAAATAAACTTGGAATCTGCTACCTAAACAGCATATGCACAGCCAAGGATAAAAAAGAGGGACTTGAATAGTAAATGAGATCGGCAATTCGAATGGACAAAATGAGCTTAGAATCGACTATCTAAATGGCATATACATAGCAAGAGATAAAAGAGGAAAGTATTTGAATAGTGATTAATATTCTCATGTTCGCAGAAGGTGACAATTTTAATAGATAATTCTGCTATCGAATATAGCAAGGATGAAAAAAGGGCTACCAGTTAACTTCCCGAAATCAATTTTATTGAAATACCATTTCGTCGAAGTCATAATATTGACATCCCATTTTAATAACAAGACATAATTCCGAAAGTCTCATTTTGCCGAAATATCATTTAATTGATAAGAAATATTACTGATAAGTCATTTATCCGCAATTTCCATTTTACTGAATATTAAAAAGATGAATGTCTATTTTACTGACATGCCATTTTTCCGAATGGTACATTTTCTGACATTCTATTTCTTTGAAAATATATTACAGAAAGCTTTTTTACCGAAGGATGTTTTATTGAATTTACAACTATTTTATAAATCCTGGGTCACCTGATAACCTGAAAAAAGGTATAAACTAATTTGCCGATAACCATTTCATTGGCAGCCATTTCACCGAATTGGCGATGATGATTATAGAGATATTGGCGATGAATATGATAGAGATATTGGTGATGAAGTTGACGATGATATTGGTGAAGATGGTGATATTGATGAAGATGTAGATATCGGTAATGAAGGTAAAGATGATAGTGATGTCAATGAAAATATAGTTATTAGTAAATGCAACTCAAATATTGAAAATAAGGATACAACAATTCAAGTACAACAACGAATGATAATGAGGATTTAGAAACCCTCCCTATAGCACTTCGAAATTATGCCGTAAACATCATAGATAGATTTAAATCAAGTAAATCAAATATGTTGTTTTATAGATTCAAAATCCACTTAAGTAGATTTTAGACCCTAAAACTATTTATGTATAGATTAAATATTTAAAAGTGAGCGATTATACGTTGAGAAAGGCGAAATTATATCCTTCTTATAAACGTCACCACTATAAATCAACTACGCTACTCTATCCCAACCCTAATAACGATAAGGCTTCGATCGAGGTGTGGGAGACTTGGTCCGGGTAACTAGGGTCGAAAGAGCTCTATATTATGTACGAGGCTCTAATATGAGGTCACGGGTTGTCCTGTCTTCCGCTCCCGATAGGGCCTAATGAAATTCCACCCACAAATTACTTACCGACAAGTTCATTTCACCGAAGCTCATTTTACAGACAAAGTAATTCTGGTCAATATAATTAGGGTTAGGTTAGAATTAGAATTAAAGTTAGTGTAATTTATAAAAAAAAACTTGTCGGTGAAATGAGCTTCGGTGAAATAGACTGTCGGTAAAATGAA